TTGGGTGCTGACCCCCTATGTGAGAGCAGTATTCTAAAACTGGCTGTATCTGTGCTTTGTATATAGATCATGAGATGATGTTGGGGTGTAAAGTATAGATTCTCGCACGGAATAAAACTACGAGTTTTTGTGAAGCAGCTTTTGCAATGGATCGAACATGATTTTCCCATAGAAGAGTATTGCATATACACTTGAAAAATGAAAAATACACATCACAGCTGATCAATTGGATCAATACCCCGAACTTTTCACAGACCGACAATTTGTTATGTAGGTCATGAACTCTTGTACCAACCAAATCAATAACTTCCCTGAAACAGCCGTGTGTATCGGTGTGCCTACAATAAGAAACGCGCCAAAACCCATTCGATTTGATATTGTGTGTGTGATTTGCAAGCGCGACATCAAAACTCTAATCGGACGCGATCTGGATTTCTAGCGAGATTGCAAGCGTTCTATTTTAAACATCCAGTATCCGCGGACGATCGGAATCAAGGTGCTGAGAAATTGTGCCTGAAAATAACTGATATTTTCCGAAATACAGGCGAAATGTTAATTCACTTTTTGAACGATACTCCAGCAATAATACGTAAAAGCTCGCTATTGGTCGTCGCGAACGTGACGCAAAAGTAGTGGGAGTCCATGGAAATCTCTTCAACATAGACAGCGGAGTTTTCAAACTCACAGGTTCATATTCTGTGGAAGTGTGCTCCGTATCAGACGAAGAACTACCCGAAAAGGTACTTTTTTGAAAAATGTTATTTTGCCTGAAGCTTTCTAGTTCTATAGTGTGTTTTCAGCGAATCTGATGCTTCTTCGATTGACTCGAAATTTTTTTAAGCTGTCTCCGAAGCACTTCAAACTCCTCAAGTATTATACGCAATTTTATTTATTCTACATATCATAAATATAGTGAATTCTCAACTCAAGCTTTTTCAATGTACAAGAATAATCTCCAGTTTGTGCTTGCCTGTATAAATCCATTTTTCTAATGCAAAATTTTGTTTGAGCCATCGAAACTTTGGTTACGTAACATCTATACTGTAGGCTAGAGTAAATTTTCCCCAAGAGGCTTGACGGGAAATTACATCTAATTATTTAATAAAGCCCCGGGATTCTTTTATTGATGATTCAGTACTCTGAAATTGCCGGAATTAGACTTGCTAACAACATAATAGTTTTCGCCTAGATATAGGCAGATAAGAAATGTCATATTTTTCTAGTGAGTGCAATCAGTTCTCTGACATCATCCTCGCACAGGTGAGGAAATAACGGCAGTAAAATAACAATAGTTGTTTTTGCTAATTTTACGATTCATAAATGCCTTCGAATTTCTATTAACGATTCTGGAATCTAACTGTGCAATTACATAATAGGTACATATAGTTGCTCTAGTGGTGATTAAGTCAACTTCAAAAATTTTGTGGATCGGGTAAAGGATACTTATGCTATTTTTTTGAACCAAGTTAGTAAGTACCTACTCCATCGACTTGAATATTTCAAAAAATTCAAATACAAGAAGTTTGTCTAGAATTACAAATACCTTCTTATTTTGCAAGTATTTTTATTCTGTTAATTAGGCAACTTTAAAAAAATGGATTCTCAGATAAATATATTCTTGATTGAGTAGAATATCAATATATCGACAAAACAGGATCATGGGTCGAGCAATGTCTGCTAGTTTCAGGGTCAGGAAAATCTAGAATACTTATACATTTTGACCTGTGGAAAGCGCTGAGACCATCATGTATTCTATAAATGCGATACTCATTATCATTTATCAGAAGTTATTCATCAAATCTTATGGGTTACCTATGGAATAATATGATAGCTGGATGTTATACAAACAATTTTCCTCAAAATGCATATCTTATTTATTGATATCAATGAATGAAAATATCAGATTGAACGATTCCGGATATTGAAATTGTAGATTTTTGATCAAAAGTACCAACCATTAATTGTCAATTTTACTTATAAAAACTGGGCTACCAACAACTTTCTCTTTGAACACTGTCATAGGGAATATTTTGTCAGATCGAGTAGATTTAAAATTCGTACTTTTTTTACATTTGTGGATCCATTTTGAAACTATCATCGTATAGTAGATTGACTGGAAGTGCCGACTATCCAAAATAATTCGTTAAACCGGAACAACATAGGGAATTAACTTGCATATCAAGTAAAATTGTCGAAATTCGAAAATTCTGTTTCTTGAAAATTAGTTTTTTTTTCCTGAATTCTCGATTATACAGTGCAAAACATGAATTTTGCAATCCACACAAGGATGTGAGTACTTTTTTATTTGAACAGTCCATATATACAGGGTGAATGGTAAACCATGGAAAAAACACAACTTCACCTCATGACAAAACTCACGGTTATAGTGATATTGAATTTTTAATGAAGACAATTGAATTAATTCTCATATTCGATGATTAATATGAACATTGTATAGTTGTAACAATCGCAGAAGGCAGATTTTCGATAGCAGTCATTCACAGTCGGATATTTTTTTTGTAGTCCGAAAATACCTGCTATCGAAAATCTGCCTTCTTCGATTGTTACAGCTACTATTCAGCAATATTTATCGAAAATAAGAATAAACATGAAACGCTCCTTATTTGTTTGAACATAAAAGAATGATATGAGAAAGGAATTCATTTTTTTCATAAAACCGTGACATCCCACTATGGTCCAGATGTGATTTTCTGATAGGTTATGAACAACTTGTAAATCACTAGCTATAGAGTATGATCCATGGTTTACTGGACAAGGGGTTATTCCATGATTAAGGAAACGAACAAAACAAAACCTTGTATTACGAAATCACTTAGCGATGTTTATTTGATAAAAAATCTCGAATAAAATCCATTCAGATTACCCAGTACGTCCCTAATAGGTTTATCGAGGATCATCAAGGACGAGCAATATTCATTTCTGAAGTTCATTACAATGTTTTCTCTCTTCGTTTTAGGTCAGTAATAATTGATCTTTAATTTCCACAATCTTTCATATAATACAGGGTGACATTTCGAGAATTTAATATCTTAATATCTTCCTTCCAGTAAATAATATGAAAAATCGAGAAGATAGGTCAATTTAATTCTGAAGGGGGACACTTTTTTAGCTCTCTTGCTTCAACCCCCTAGGAGGGGTAGATGTTACCTTCAAAACCTCGTTTGAAAAGAGAGTCAAGATGAACATGGAGAGTCAATACAATGATACTAACCTAAAAACCATGCATCTCAGGGCAGGCATGTTCTAATTACTTCTGTAAGTTTAGAACGGCATTTTTCCAAAACTGCTTATCAAAAAATGGAAAACTGAGATATTGTTGAAAAGAGACTTGAATGTCCATCATGATAATGTGAATCTTGGGGGGTTGAACAACTAAGAGGGCTAAAAATATGCATTTCAAGTATCTTCCTTAGAAATGGAAATGTCGTGTCTTTCCGATTTTCCAACAAACATGGCTCATTAACATAAATCCCTGTCACCTATCTATAATGTGGATTGATGGATATGAGCATATTATTTCAACATTATCAGAAGACGCTCAAAATCATAAAAAAATAAAATGCAAGGGAACCTGTTACTCGATTTTGTTCATATTTATAATTTTCGATGAATTCGGACTTGACGACATGCTAACAAACTCCCCATTCGAATGTTGAAATGATCTGATGACAGTGAAGTTCTGAAAAGGAATATTCTTAGATAAATTATGAACATAAAAAAAAAGGATAAATATATATAAAACGATACATTGAGAATTCGCATTCTCTATGTGATGAGAATATCAACTCTTTTTCAGTTCATTCAACCGAAAACAACTACTTTCCTGGCTATATGCCACGACGAACATTGAATAATATCTATTGAACACACGATGAGTTTGAAAATAAAATATAAAATATTCTGAAATTGAGAATTTGCATTCTCCTTCAGACAAAAATATGTATATGCACACATCATTCTGAATATTCAACAGAAAACAACTACTTTCCTGGCTATTTGCCACGTCGAACATTGAATTATATCTGATGAACATCCAAAAGGAGAACATGAAAAATAAAAAAATAAAATTCTCCGAAAATTGAGAATTGACATTCTTTCTCAAATCGGATGGATAATATGATGTATAATGATATAAAAATATCAGCTCATCAAGATCAGAGTTTATGCCAGTATACTTCTCCTATACATTCCAATTTTCATTTCAATGCTGAATATATTGGTAAGTCTCATCGTGTGTGTTCAATAGATATAATTCAATGTTCGTCGTGGCATATAGCCACGAAAGTAGTTGTTTTCTGTTGAATGAACTGAAAAAGAGTATTCTCATCACATAGAGAATGCAAATTCTCAATGTATCGCTTTATATATATATATCCGTTTTTTTAGGTTCATAATTTATGTGAGAATATTCCTTTTCAACACTTTCATACCCAATCAAGGGGTTCAAACTTGAACGATGGAATTTTGTCATTTTTAAAGATCTCTAATCACAGATTCGTGATAGAGTCTGAATTCAGAATTTCTTTCCACGCCCTGTATGATGAATATCAATTTGTCATACACCGAAAAACAGTGAAGTTCACTGCCATTGGTCCATCGGTGCCCCAAAAGAAAATCATGGAGGCCAGCAAACGGGTTCGCCATCCCTATCCACTATCGATTTCCATGAAACTGCGCCCGCTGACTAAACTCCTCCGAGTTGGGGGAGAGACGCGCTACGCGTTAGTCGGGAGTTGTGGAAGTTGCAGGTCCACAAGCCTAGAGAAACTCATGCTCTGTCCATTTGGTTTTGGTGTTAAAGTGTTTTTTCATTTAGCTAGACTCTAACTGTAGCGAGAATGGGAGGGTGCGCATCTAAGGATAATTCTAAAAAACACGAGCAGGACAATGAAACGGGGTTTGTACCTACTATTCGTTATCGTAACCTGTAATCCTGTCGATGTCTATGCATGGGTCAATAGCTCGGGCTCGGCCGGTGGATGTCTTGTCTCAGCACTGCTCGTGCTGATGCTGATGCTACCTTTACTCTACGCGCTTTTCTCGTCTTTGCTGCTGCCTCTTCTCAACTATATACAAAGTACGCATAATTTATTTCTGCTATACATACTCTCGATCCTTTTCGCTCCTGTATACTTTTACGCTTCTGAATTGATGGGATTATCTATTATCTCCAGACACTCTGGGATTTACGCCCTTCCACTGGAATCGCACGGCCTTCTTGTATTGATGTTGAGTGATCGTGAAAAATATCATCTACTTCCAAAATGACAAGAATTTGAACGTTTTGATATTTTGACAACACCAGCATGCAGTTAAGTTTTTATAGGTTCAAGAAACTAGTTTGATTGGAACAAAGTTTTCATTTATTCGAATTTATATACAGGGTGTTCCTTTATGATATGATAATATTCAAGGGGCCGATTCTTCGACCCATTTCAAGAATAAAACTTCATATGAACGTATGTCGTAAACTTTTGTGATACAGGGTGTCAATGTTGAAAATATGCATAGATTTTTTTTGTCCACCCTGTATAACTTTTCGTGATGACAAAATTCAGTCTGCTATGTGACTGAATCGGTTTACAAATTTCAAAATGTTACATACTGTGGTTATCCAGTAATGGATGTTCTAAATGGAGTACTCAGACAGCAAAATTTGAAGTCTGGTCTCGTTTTTCCATTTTTTCTCAAAAACGAAGCTTCCTATCGAGAATCAACACGAGGATATTTTTTGTACATAATTGAATAGCCTTTTATGACACTGCATAATATTTGAAATTTTTTTGTCGTTGCTCACTTTTAAGTGAAATATAAACAATAATATTCCCGTAACGGTGCCACTGGTAGAGAAAATGAAATTTTTTGTACATCAGAGAATGCACCTTGATGCATAAAAGACGTGTACCAAATTTCATGAAGATGTATCCAATATTGTCTCAGTTATTATCAAAGAACTGAATATTTTTCAAAACTTCATCACCCTGTATCTCAAAAGTTAAGACTTATAGGACATACATTCATATCAAGTTTTGGAGATATTAGAATTTTCTAAAATTTCTTCCCCCAACTTGTTTTTCAATGCAATTTTCGGCAGTTTTATCAGGAAATTCGAAAATATAATCATTTCCACTTGAAAATAATACTCCTGTTCAGTTTCAATAGCACTCACTATTTTCTAGATTTTAAGAGTCTGCTGCGTAACAAAAATAGTGCTAGAATCTGTGGTTGAAATCTTTCTATGTAATTTCGGGACACCCTGTATATGTTGCTCGTTCATCTTCATATCTGGATTATATCAATACTTATTTCAAATTTCTTATATTTATTCCAATGAAATACGTAAAATAGATCGAAGGATAAAATAATATATGGAATCAATAATTATTATACACTTAATTCAGAAGACAATTCCCGATTATAAGAGGAAAATGTCCAAAAAGCCATTTTGTATAATTTAGTCTTTCAGATTACTATTCATTGAATGGGAACGCCTCACAATATATATATGTATCTCATTTATACTTTGCTCACTTTTCAAAGAATATCATTTTTCTAACTAAGTATTCAATTCTGTATTATGTTACGTGCATTTTTTTGCGTGCTTCTGTGTGTTTTTCTGCTTTTCATGCTATTTTGCTAAAAGATGCTCCCAATCAGCCAAAGTACGTCTTAAAGGCGTCTTTAAGACGTACATGTCGGGACATAAGTACGTCTTAAAGACGTACATATTACGCCCAAGAGACGTCTTTAAGACGTCTTTAAAACGTACATTTTCCACTAATATGTACGTCTTTAAGGCGTCTTTTTTAGGTGTTTTTGGTCCATGACCTCAAATTGATCTTTCAAATTACGGAAAAATCACATAGTTTCAGTTGATTTTCACCTGTGCACTGAAGTTAGCAACAAGTTGTAAGAATTCCTTTTATTCTTATACGTCCTTAATCAGGACAAACCAAATTAGATTTTGAAACAAGATTTATTGAAACAACATTTACTAAGTAAGTACATAAATCACAAATCCTACTTTCGATGTTTGATTCGATATACTTTTATTATTTATTTTGGTGCACCAACTTCTAATGCCCTAATATGAAACTAATAACATCTATCTTTCCAAACGAAACTATCTACCCTACCAAATAAAGTCTTTCTTCTGGTGTCACCAATCTGCGAAGCCACCAAGCTTGGTCTTTTAATATCGAAATCCACTGACCTGGTATTCCATTATGTAAATGTAGGTATGTGTGACCACAGGAACTATATGATATACTTCCAACTGCTTTCTGCTGCTTTCTGCTTTACTTCTGAAGAACCCAGCACTCGCTATCCCGGTATTTTCCCAATCTGGCGTAATCCGGTACCGCTGGTGTAAACTGCCAACACTCCTTCAGACTTTTCTCACGGGCTCAGTAATTTTCTACTTTATACCTTTTCCGTCTATCTTTTCTTCTTTTTAAAAAAATCTCCCTTTTTCTGTGTACCATCTCCGTGACAACCTCCTTCCTTTTTCATTTCACTTTCCCTACCTACTATTCTGATCTATCAATTGATTTAACATATTCTTGAACGGTGTTTGACAATTTCAGAACATTGAATAATATAAATATACATACAACTAAACTTTAAGCCGTTGCAAAGTGCAGACAAGCAAAAAAAAAGGAAATAAACGACTTCATCAAACGGTAGACACAAGCGGTCACCCATTCAAGTACTAACCGCGCTCTTTGTTGCTTGACTTCGATGATTATACCATATTCACTTCTTCTGTTACTCTGTTTGTTCTATATATCACATAACAAGCTTTTACTTAGTTTAACATGTCCTTGTGTCTGTTTGTAATCAAAACGTGCAAGTTGAATTTGACTCACTTTAAATCGTCCGATTGATTTGAAATTTGGCAAGTAAATATTATTCCGGTGACAATTCGTTGTGATATTATTATTGAATGGAAAAAACAGAATGGTGGATCCAATATGGCGGACGATTTTCTCATTGATTATGTTCCGACTCGAATCAAAATTCAATATTCAAGATGGTGAATCCAATGTGGCATATGGTTTTCTGATTATGGTCTGATCTGATTCAAAATTGGCATCTGAAGGATTTCGGGATCAGAGATTTTAATTTCTTTTGTCGAAAATGAAAAATCCAAGATGTCGGCTTCAAAATGGCGGACGAGTTTTGTAATTATAGTCCGATTTTATTCAAAATTGATTACTATGGGACTTTTGGGGTCGGAGAATATGATTTTTTTGTAAAAATTCGAGAATCTAACACGAATGCTCCAAAATGTCGGACGAAAAATTTCAAAAACATCACTTTTGTTGAAAATAAGAAAAAACTGAACAATTGAAAATAAAAAACGTGAAGAGATGACATTTTGTTTTTCTTCAGAAAATAACTTACATTATTGTTCTATAAGTCGAATTGACGTACTGGAATGTACGTCTTTAAGACGTCTTTTATACGACATGGGAGGAACGGCGTGGATACGACCTAAAATGTACGTCTTAAAGACGTAAATTCGTGTACGTCTTTAAGATGTACATAGGATTTACATCTTAAAGACGTACTTTATACGTCCCTGGACGTAAAGACGTAAGTAAGTCGTAAAATGTACGTCTTTAAGATGTCTGGTGCTGATTGGGCTATAAGTAATGCGATGATATCTATAAAATTTGATTTTTATATGAGACCAAATGTTTTACAATTCTGGGCACTGAAACTATAGACTCAGAAATACGTGGTTGACTTAATCATCTGAAGAATATTTGATGATTTAAAAAATCGAGAGCTCCTATTGAATCGAAATTTGATACCCGTCCTTCACTAAAATCATTGTGTACCTACAAGGTGTCATTCAATTGAAGGCTTAAAATAGAGAATATGAACTACAAAATAGCAACAACAATGCTGAAAGTGGAATGAATCCTACTTTCCCAACCTGAAGGATAAGTTATCTGTGGACAGGTAGGAGAAACCTTCATTTTCGAAAATTAGGCACAATATCTACATTAAAATATGGTGTAACGGATTGCATTGAAAGGGTTGATAGCAAATACATATTAAGAAAACAAATTCAACAGTGGTGAACTATTGGGGTCTAATTGATCGTTAAGTGAAATTTTTGAGTTAGTTGGTCTCTAATGATTCAAAATGAGTTTTATTCCTTCATTTTCTACGTGTGAAATTTCGAAATTGTCATCAAAACTATGGTTTTCTACTAATATATAGTTGGCGTTTGTTGAATTTGTTTTTTTTTTCTTCGAAATACTCATCTCATGTTCACGAATGCGCTAATTAAACGTACGACATGTCTGACCGATATATACCTTAGGGCAAGATCCACAGTTGAGTCTGAATTTAGAATTTGTGAAGTTTTCACATTTGCTATGGATTTCCAGCCGAGTCAATTCAAAAGACATACCTACAAGATATCACTAGTTTCTCGATAATTTTGAAATTCAGAAGCGTAAAAGCTCCTAATCCCTCATTATTCATTTTCTCTCTTTATTTGAACACTATTTATACATACCTAATATTTTCTATGTACCCAAGTACTTATGCAAGGTATGTAGATATGTATCACAACATTTCTGATCAAGAGAGGTGCGAGAACAAAGCCATTTTTTTCTTATACTTTTATGAGATATCCAAGGCAAGGAAAAGAAGAGAGAGAAATAACTGCGTGTGCTTACATCCTCTTGATGATGGGAAATTTCGCTTCATTTCCATTATGAACTTACACTTGGTACTAAATCTTGCAAATATCTGGAATATTCGAGGTGAGGAAAAGCAAAGAGAGAAACAACTTTGTGCTTACAACCTTCTTGATGGGAAATTTTGCTTCATTATGAACCAACACTTGGTACTAAGTGAAAATACAACGAATTGTTGCTCAGCCCAGAACTGTATTGGCTAATAACCAATTCGTCAATCAATCTTCCAAACATACATACAGAAACATCCTCCATGTTCATCGGATTTAGTACCATGTGACTCCTTCTATATAGTTCCAAGAAAAATCAGGCATTGAAGGGGATTTCATCGGTGGCTTTGGAGTCAAATTTAACTGTGGATGCTTCAAAAGGGATGATGTTTTCCAGTCCCCTATTCGTGTCACTTCTGTCCAAACGGAACCCGAACTGAAGGGAACGTATGTTTTTTTTTGCAGAAAATCCACCATGGCCGAAGCCCAGACATTGGAAAAACTTGAGTCCGGCTACAAGAAGCTGAAGGAGTCCGATTCCAAGTCGCTCCTGAAGAAACACTTGACCCAAGAGATCTTCGACAAACTCAAGACCAAGACAACCCCAACTTTCGGCTCCTCTCTTCTGGATGTTATCCAATCTGGTGAGGAAAACACTATCTCACTCTCAATTCATTTTCCGTAACTGCTAGCCCGAAAAACATTAAACAATTTTAGGAAAAGGAATAGTTAGGTAGTAGGTATAGTGGTTGTGATTTATTCTGGGTGCTAGACTTTTATTGACTTCAACGTGTTCTTCAAATAATCACCTTGGTAATGGTACCGGGTGGCTACTAGATGTTTCATGAGTATATAGGACAAAAACCAGTACACAGTTGAAAATCAAATTGAAATAGATTTTTTTTTCACATGTCGATCAACAGTGTACGGAAACCTGTTTTTCAGAGATATTTGCACTTCGGAATGGGGTTCTTCGTTGAAAATTTCTAAACGGTTATTCCAATTCCGATGAAATTCTTTTCACATGAAGAATATGGACAACCTAATATTGTGTGATTGGCTAGGTGATTAGGTCGCCCTATCACCATAGATCTACCTCTTATGAGTCCTTAATTTTTGACCTGTAGCTTTTAAGTATTCAAAAACATCAATACATATCATTATTTAATGTCGATAAACTGTTTTATAGAAAATTTGATTTTTAAAGGAATATGAAATATGTGCATCCACCAAAATTTGAAAGAGTATAAGAGTAGTATTCTGAATACATTAGGTTTTTCTTTGACAACGATTGAAATGTCATCAAACAAGACACGCTCTCATTATGTCCACTATAGCTAGTCAGCCATTGAAAAGGTTTTAAAATGTTGGAGAATGTTGTAGAAACGTCAGTATTTTATAGAATCTTCCATAAAGTTCAAGAATTTTCTAGAAAGTTCCAGGAAGGGAAGTCTAGAATATTATAGAAACTTCCAAGAAGTTAATGAATGTTCCAGAGATTGTTTTAGAAAGTTCTAAAATGTATTAGAAAGTTCTAAAATATTCTTGAATCCAGGAGTGTTGGATGATGATCTATAAAGTTTTAGAATCTTCAGGAATAAAAGAGAATGTTTCAAGAGGTTGAAGAATATTCAATAATGTTTTATATTGCTTCTAGAATATTCTAAAATCTTGCAGAATGTACGAGAGTGTTCCAGACACTGCTCTAGAAAGTTGGAGAGAAAAGTTTCAAATGTTATAGAATCTTCCAGAAGGTTCGAGGATGTTCTAAAATATTAAAGCAAGTTCTAGAATATATTAGCATGTTCGAGGATGCTGAAAAATGTTATAAACTCTTTCAGAAGGTTCATAGAATGTTCCAGAATGTTAGATATAGCTTAAGAATGCTCTAGACTCTCCCAAAGAGTTCGCTGTTATTCTACAACGTTCTAGACTGTTCAATAAGCATTATCTAGTGTTTGAAAATGTTGAAGAATGTTTGAGAATGTGATGGAAGCTTCTAGAATATTATAGAATATTCCCAAAACGTTCCGAGATTTCAACTACAACAAAAATAGAGAAACACTCAGTCATTACCACACTAGTCCTTAAAATGAACGAAAATGGTAGATAACATTGATAACAAGAGAAAAACAATCCTGGCTATATTCCACGCAGAACTTTAGCATCTTGATCGGTATCTGATGCTGATGAGAACTAGAGAACTTGACCTAACGTTAACGCACCTCAGCCTCAGCATTTATACCCCATGAGACGTTCAACGTCCGCGGAATGAAAACGCGAACGCCGAACGCCACCTGCTGGCAAGGAATGAAACACTCCAAAACAAGATCCCATATCAGATGAAATGGGAGTGGCTGGTTGCCCGACTGGCGTATTTTCAAATTGGAAAAAGCCAAATACTCAAAGTCTTCTACAAAGTTCCAAAATGAAGACCTCGGTGCAAGAACCGGGCAACTCCATTTTATGCCGAAATTGGGTTATTGTATTTAACATATAGAGTTTTTTCTTGCGCATCTTTTGGTGCAAGAATCAAGCGAATCCAACAATTTCCTATCAAGTTAACACGGGAAAGGATTTACCAGATGAGCCATTGAGGTGCAAGAGTCGGGCAACTCCAGAAGTTACCCGATTTTAACTTCCATCGTGTGTGGAGTGATTAGTTTGATCACTTGTTTCATGCAATGCAATGTAATGTCGTCGGAAAGTGCAAGTGAGCCTTTTCAAGATTCGGGGAGTGAATATGTTCCATAAACATGTTGAAAAAGAGGACCCAAATAAGACGCATCAGGAAACGCCAGCGATTCTTATATTCAAACTACTATTTGTTCACAATATTTTTTCGTTATGTATTTCATTTTCAATAAAAAAGCGACAGCTCCATTTTTTCAAACTTCTTTTTTAGCTTCTACAATGTAAATGAAAATTAGTATCTAGGTAAATACAGCTTATCTAACGTAACTCTGAAGGATTCATACCATTTAGCATAATTCTTTTCAAGTTTCCCAAAAATATCAAGTTTTTTTCCATTCCATTCTTCCTGAATTTTCTCCGCCTCACGAATTTCTTTTTAATTTCCCAGGCCTCGAGAACCACGACTCAGGCGTCGGCATTTATGCCCCCGACGCGGAGTCCTACACCGTCTTCTCGGACCTCTTCGACCCCATCATCGAAGACTACCACGGCGGCTTCAAGCGCACCGACAAGCACCCGCCCAAGAACTGGGGTGACGTGGGCGTATTCGGGGACTTGGACCCCACCGGAGAGTACGTCGTGTCGACCAGGGTGAGATGCGGCAGGTCGTTGGAGGGATACCCGTTCAACCCTTGCTTGACGGAGGAGCAGTACAAGGAGATGGAGCAGAAGGTCGCGTCGACGCTGTCTGGACTGGAAGGTGAGAGGAGGGGGGAGGGAGATGGGGGTGGAGAGATTAAGGGGTTCAGGAGGAAGAGGGGGGCAGGAGGTAGTTGTGAGCGGAAGTCGCGTGGGATATTTTTTCACACGTAGGAACCTACGAAATCATAGAATTACGGTTTTCTTCTTAATTTCGAGTTATAACTTGGTGCTAATTTGGTGTTTCAACTCGAAATCAACATAGTTATAACTGGAAATTACGCGGAAGAACTCATTTCGGAATATAAATTGAAATTAGGGGAAAGAATATTGCATATGTCTATTTTACGCTCTCGTTAGAAACCCTTTTTCTTATTATTTTTGTGTGCAAATCTCTTCCAGAATCCATCCAATATATAATTATTTTTCAAGTAATTTCAAGTGTATTTTTCGACATTATTATTTTATAACGGGTCGGACGTTTTTCGAAAAATTGTTTTTTTAATATAATGTGTAGAAGGTACTCAGAAAGCTGGCAATACATCCTGGTTTGCGTTATCTCATTACCTATTCGCTTCGCATTTTTCTCGACCGAAGCGCCAAAATAACAATTTAATAATTTCATGAATGTGTTCTTGTTTTTCATGTTGGTTCCATGAAACCCATATTTCGCATGGAAAAACAATTGAATTTCACTTCGGATTTTCCCGGAAATATACCTAAATCCAGGATTTTGAATGGAAGCCTGTAGATATTTTTACATTCGATGGAATGAAAACTTTTGTTTCGCTTAGTAAGTTGATTGTTGAAAATTTGATGAATGACAACATCACAGTCATCTAATTGACTGAAACAAAAATGTCTTCTTCTGCTGCTCAATTCAATAATGATTGGAGAAGCACAGGTATGGATTGAAAGACATGAACCGTTACCCCTAACCCTTGATTATATACACTAGTGTGAATACTCAAAGCCCGCAAGAACCCGTCAATAAGATATTATTCATTTATTTGCCCATTCGCCAAATCCTACATTATTTACTTTCGAACTAATGGCGAATGCGCTATTATATCGTGTGTCCCAAATGGTAACGGTCCCAATCGATCCTCAATCCTCACCATTGGGATCTCGGTAACTGTGAGAGATAGAGGAACGGTTAAATCATGAAAGTTTCAGCAAATTCAATCGTGATTCAGAATTCGTCGAGAAATCTTGAGTCATTTCTATCTCGAAAACTATTGATTGTATCATAGATCTAAATACACACTTTAGATCTATGATTGTATGAAATCACGACATTATAATGTTTTTTTTCTATTGATCTTTTGAATGGTTTTGCCAAATTTTGAAACAAGAAGAAGGGAAATTAATTAAATAAGTTAGAGGTCATATCTCAGAAAGTTGATATTTTTAACAAAAACTGACAGAATCTTTCAATTGAACACTCAAAAGTACTATTATATTGTTGAAGTCGTTTCATCATACAATCAAAAGTTTTCGACAAATTCGAGAAGAACGAAAATACAAAATTTCAGTTTTTCTTGAATAACTCAAAAATTACTGAACCTATAGTCTAGATTTTCAAACGCATATTCAATATGGAATTTGCCGAAACTCTAATTTAACCGACCCTATATCTCTCATAGTTATACCAAGATCCCAATGGTGAGGAACGATTTGGGACACACTGTATGTCGTCCTGTATAATGAAAATCCACATGCAGTCAAACGTTCTTTTAACTTCTTATTTCATTTTGCCTCTGTTTCTATAGATACATAAATCATAAATAATCATCAACATAAAATTAATAAAAGAAAATGAGACTATTAGGAACTGTATTTTGTGTTAGTCATTAGTCAATATGAAATACTGTTTTCATTGGACATATTGATATTATATAAGGTCATCAACGTTGAAATAAAAACATCACTGAAACGTCAACTGTATCGTTCCATATTCCGTTCCAGGCGAGCTGAAGGGAGTATTCTACCCCCTCACCGGCATGAGCAAAGAGGTCCAGCAGAAGCTGATCGACGACCACTTCCTCTTCAAAGAGGGCGACCGGTTCTTGCAAGCAGCCAACGCCTGTCGCTTCTGGCCCACCGGGAGGGGCATCTACCACAACGACGCCAAAACCTTCCTGGTCAGTTTCCAGAATGTTCCAAGCTATACTTTCTCTTCACGAGTGTTCTAGAAAGCTTTCGGGTGTTAATGAATTTTCAAGAATGTTCGGGAATGTTGTAGAATGATCCAGAATGTGAAAGAATCGTCTAGAAGGTCTCACAGAACCTAGACCAGATTCTTGACCTTCCTGGTTAATACACGCCAGGGCTGACCAGAATGTTCTTGAATGTTTCCAGAATGTTATTTGCTCATCTGAATTGTTCGGCAATGTTTTGGAATGTTCCAGAATGTTCTAGAAAGCTTTAGGATGGAAAAGAAAGGAACACTTGCATTCAGAATTCAATTACATGAATCGTTGCATAGATTTCGGGAGAATGTAATTCAATGTTCTCCGTGCATGGCATTAGGTATAGCCATCAGGAAAGTGATTCGTTGTTTATATCCCGTCATTCACCATCGCATTATTGGTCATTTCATTAAACACATGTGAAAATGGCTTTGGATTTTTGCTTATTAATTAGGTTTTGTGAGGACAGTCTAGGATGTATGACAATGTTCGAAAATACTCTAGAAAGTTTCAAGATGTTCTTTGATATTCGACAATATTATAGACGGTTCAAGAATGTCTGGAAATGTTGCAGAATGATGCAGGACATGATGAGATGAAATGACGTAGTTCTATAATGTTCCAGGATGCTTCTTCAGAAATTCACTTCCCAAAAAACAACGCACCACCAAAAAGTGTCCAAATACAAGTCGTTTTCGCAAAAATGTATCTTGAACTTTTGGCTACTTTTTGGTGGTCCGTCAATATAGAGAATATTAAAAATGTTCTGAAAGGCTCTACGATGTTCATGAATGATCTTGAATGCTTTAGAAGAAGGCTGTACAATGTTTAGGAAAATTTCAGAATGTACTAGACAAATTATGCATTGTTTCAGGATCTGTTATGGAATCTCCCGCCAGAAGGTTCGAGAATATGTTCTAGAATACTTCAGAGTATTCTAGAACATATTAGACAGAGTATCTCGGAACGTACTACAATGTTTCATAATATTTGAGATCATACTATAGGGTGGTGTTCCAAGATGTTTCATAAATGCTTTATAATTTTCCACAATGCTTCAGAATAGGTAGTTTAGAAATGGAAAGTCTTTCACAATGTTCCAGACTGTTCTAGAACATTCCATATCGTTCCAGAGTGTTCCAGAATATACTTGAATATTCCATATTGTTCCAGACTGTTCGAAATGAAATTTGGAATGCGATGATTCAGTTTATATTTGAAATTTCTGCATATAATCGAAGGTTCATTGTTCACTTATTTGAAGACTTTGGGAATTGATGGATACAAGCCACAAAATGTAAATTCGGAGAAATCGCATGTTTTTCCCTATTTTAGAATCGTGAAATCCATGTCCAACTTGTATTTTTCGAAACTAAGGTTAACATTTGTTGGCAAATATACCTAGTAATCAGACACACATTTCTATTGAAAAATGTTTGAGTTACCAAATATTTTTGAAAAAAAACAGTGGCTTCATCCTTTTTTATATATGCCAATAATAATTGAAAGGGTTATAATGATTTGCATTGAAAGGGGATATGTCACCGTATGTAATGGCCGAGGTAATGGCAACGTCAAAATAGGATCCGGTTCACTATCTTCATCACAAAACTGAAAAAAAAAATCTAATTTTCCCTCACAATCACGTGGATCCTCTGACGCCATGTTGATTTTAACGGTGGCTTGCCCCTTTTTGATGCAAAATATAATGAAGTTGCCAAAACGGGATCTTATGATAGTAGTGCCATCTGTGATCGGGGAGCTATCATTGGCTAATATGATATTGAAGATGGAATACAGAGTGCTTTAGTTTGGTCAACAAATGTTTGACAAAATTCGAAATTGTGGCTTATCCCTTTCTGGTACCAAGGTCTTCATTTGACAAATGAGCTGGCTGGCTATCTGTCAATTCATCCATCATTTGACAAACGCGCTGCCTGGCTATCTGTCAATCGATCCATAAATTCTGGTGTACCAGGTGTGGTGTAACGAGGAGGACCACCTGCGCATCATCTCGATGCAGATGGGCGGCGATCTCGGGGCGGTGTACCGCCGTCTCGTCAACGCTGTCAACGACATCGAGAAGCGGATCCCGTTCTCGCACAACGACCGGCTCGGCTTCCTCACCTTCTGCCCGACCAATCTGGGCACGACCGTACGCGCGTCGGTGCACATCAAGGTGCCCAAGTTGGCTGCCAACAAGGCCAAACTGGAGGAGGTCGCTGCCAAGTACAACTTGCAGGTTCGTATCACCGTGACGTTTTCATTAGGTTCTTCTATGGTTTTTGACGTTTCGACGAAGGACAGGCGGCTAGCGCCACGGTTTTAGGCTCTTACACAATGCCAAAACGTAGGACATAAGGCGTATGACGTAAGTCGTAAGTTTTTTCCGTATCATGAAAATAGAGGAAGAAATAGGTAGGTACACAATGCTTATGCAATACCGTAAGATTTACGTATGAGGCATGGTAGCTTACGGAAATTTCCGTAAGAATGGAATTTTCCATAAATAGCATAAGGGAAATCGTTGAAATTGAAGTATCTGACGTATTGTAACCGAATCTAACCTAACTAAAAGATTCTTAGAAAAAGAAAGTGTTATAGTGTTCATAAGATTGTGATAAGATAATAAGGAACCAACAAATCATTCAGTGGTTGCTATTATTTTCATACATATCTTCATGTTTTTCTATACAGATATTAAGTATTGTCTTGACCACCTTCTATTGAGCCATCTCTTCCTCCTCTTCCTGGTCAATACAAAAGCAGAAATTATGTGTACGGAAAGCAATATATTATGTCCTCCATAACAAAATGCTTACAAAATGCATCCGTTTATGAGATGCTTACGTTTGACGGCATTGTGTTATTGGAATATTTTCTCTTATGCAGTCTTATGCCATACGTCTTATGTCTTACGTTTCTGCATTGTGTATAAGATCCTTTCCATTTTGCTTTGAGTCTCCCAAACATTGAAAATTCAACAGTAAATGCCTGTACAGTACATTTTTCAGGGAGGAAGGAAAATAAAACAAAAATAAAATTTGTGTCAAGTCTGTGGTTCAACCGGGCACATACGTTCAGTATAAAGTCTGACCATCAGTTTGACCAATATCAACTGTTTGGGAATATCGGTCACTTTTCAAACCTGCCCACGCTACGTTAACTATAAGAGTCCAGTCAGATATTTTGACCATTCTGGCATTATATAATATGCACTGTGGTCAGACGGATGACTTGACACAGCCATAATACACTATAAGGCTGTGTCAAGTCATTCGTTCAACCACAGTGGTGATGCCAGGATGGCTAATGGTTGACTCAACTCCCATCAAAAGTAAACGTGGTAACTTCGTGGGCAGGTTTGAAATGTGACCGATATTCCCAACAGCTGTTTGGTCCAACCGATGGTCAGACTTCATACTGAACGGTCAAACCACAGACTTGACACAGCCTAAGTACAATTACAACATGTATGAAATTGAACAAAGGCGTTATATTTTACAACTGCTGCATCATCTTCCTTATCATCAGAAACGATAGTTACCTACCTATAGAATGAACACACTTGATAATAATAATGATATTAGTACCTACATCAAATTGAAATGGATATTTTTTTAGAAAATAGGGTTATTCCATATTATCGGATATATTCCCCATATTCCCCGACTGGCCCGACTTTTCTCTATTATTAACCAATTCGATGGTCGTTCGCAGGTGAGAGGCACTCGCGGGGAGCACACGGAGGCCGAAGGGGGCATCTACGATATCTCCAACAAGAGGCGCATGGGGCTCACCGAGTTCGATGCCGTCAAAGAGATGTACGACGGCATCGCGGAGCTGATCAAGATCGAGCGGGAATTGTAAACACCTTGTACCTATTCTACCTACCTAGGTACATTCTTCATTGTTCGTGGTGGATGCGTCATCTGCCGCCTTTTTAATAATGTCCATGTTTACTTTCTTAGCCTGAAGTATCAAAGGTTGCTTTAAAAGTATAATGCTAACGTCTGAAATGGATATGAGTAATGAGTATCCATGGGTTAGTTTTACCAGCTTCTAGTCGAAAACCATTTTTTCTTTAAATTGTGATTATATATTATACTTTTACAATGTTGAACATTGGGATTGTATATTTCGTTATTTATAGTTTATTTTTAATGTGCGTATGAAGTGTACGAGTATTATTATATTGTGAATATTATATTCATCACCAAATGACATTTATTAAAAAGAAGTCCAATGTGTACCTGGTCATTCATTTCATTTTCCTAGAACATGAAACATAAATAAAACAGAAAAAAAGCGGGTCGCCACGCCACTGAGGTATTTTTTATTTTGAACGAGAGAGAGAGGAAAGTTCTCTCTTCTTCCATCCTTCTCTTCAATGCTACCAACGTGACCGTATTGAAATATGGAGAGGTCCGATAAATCTTTCTTTGTCTAATATCTACTTTGTGCCACTGAACTATCTTTCAAAGCAGCAGGGCAGAGATTATACACTCTCTAGTATGTATAATCTCTGAGCAGGGTGTCAAATTTAACGATATTAAGAAATTTTGTCAAAATAAGTATGATTCGCGATAGAAAATAACTCATCGCCCTAAATGACGGCAACAACTGGAACACCTCAGAGCGGTTTGTTTTGATGATGTGACCGCAATAAGCACAAACAAAAAATGAATGTGAACCAATGAAATCAAAGTAAATAGGCCGCTTTGACAGCTTTCAAGATCTCCGATAGGTGGCGTCCGCTTATTTTCTATCACGAATATATTTTGAAATTTCATTTCGAAAATTCGAAATTTCATCAGTCGATGACATTCATGACATAGACATATGTCATTATAATATCGAAAAAAGTTTAGCGGCGCAGACAAGATGTTAGACAAGGAAAGATTCATCGGACCTCTCTATATTTCAATGCGGCCACGTTGGTAGCAATGAAGAGAGAGATGGAAGAAGAGAGAACTTCCTTCTCTCTCCTTCAAAATCCACCCACCACCCACTTTTTTTTTTTGTTTCCTGAGATATGCCATGAATTTCCGATTACTATCAGGATAGTAGAAACGCAAAAGGGTGTTTGACCGCAACTAACAATTCAAGAAGGCATTCATCGCCCTCTTAAACACCTACATTGAGTTCAAAGGTGAACATTGAGGTGAACACAAGCCTCGTCTCCTGATGAGGTAGACACATACTGTGGATTATGCAACCAACAATTTAGAACAAGAATAAACATTCGTGCTTCGTCAGGCAGAGGGCGCTGACGTTCTAGTAAATTGCTTGTTGCATACTCTACAGAACGTGCCCACTTCATCTGAGGAGCAATTGAGGAGTACCTACCGTTTTGCGTTTCTGCTATCCTGATACTAATGGGAAATTCGTGTCATTCGCTGATGAAGATCAGCAAACACTCACATATCGTCGAAGACTGACACTGTTTTACCACTAACCAAACCGATTTTTTAAACTTAATCTTAATTAATTTCTTCAGCTTTGTCTCAGATGAAGGAATACAGAACCTGTACCTATAAATGAAAAAGTTTGAATCGTAAGCGTATTTCTATTCTGTGTTATCAACAGCTGACAGATCGATCATTTCCAACAATACTACCATTTCTGAAATGGAAGGACGATACAATCAAATAATAAAAACCATATATAGGCGTTTTCGGAAACTTACTCTGGGTTGTTGACTCGATCTGAACGGGTCACGTGATGGATCAGTCGGATCACTTATCCTAATACTATAGTTTACGAACTTATCAGGTTACTATTTTATTGAGTCAGCTTTATACCTCTTCGAATATAGAACTTCTTGATTTCTTACGTATGCAACTTTTTCAGTTTGCTATACGATATCAATATTTCGGATCAATTTCTCCATATCTTCAAAAACATACCACGGAACTCTAAAAAGATACACGTTGTTATTGTTCTAGAAAGGATGAATATTGCTTCTGCTCATGATGTTGGTGTATTTTCATCATCAAACTAATGCTATTCAACATAATTCACTTCTCGTTCAATTGATGAAATCAAATAATATCTGAAGTGACCATAGAAATACATGAGTAGTTCTGTGGTAGTAAGTGTATGATATAAAAAACATCTCAGATATAAGGTAGTAACTCTGGCTGACCCTGCTTTGGAGCAGGGTTGCGAAACATGAATCCGAGTTAGTGATCGAGTAAGTAACACCGAAGTTTCCGAACATGGGTATGTTACTCGGGTTAGGTAAACGAACGTGCAGGTTAGGGATCGAGTCAACCCGAGTAGGTTTCCGAAAACGCCTTATGTACAGTAGATAAAGGGTATTTATCTCAGATGAAAGTATCTGAGTGGTGCTGATGGTGCTGAGCATTAGGAAACGACAAACAGAAAGGAGGAAAAGCTTTCTCTGATATCATATCTCAGTAAAACGGTAACGATGAAAATCCTCTCGTGGAAATAATTCGAGTGAGACAAGGCCGGCCGAAGATTTTTTTCGGGGGGATCCAAGAAAAAATAGAACTGTGGAAAGGTAGAGGAGGTAGGTGCTGGGGGAATACTTCCATATTGGCAAATAATTCCAAAACTTCACCGTTCTATAGACGATAACGAGCTGACTGTGCCTGTCGTCGAGTTCGTATATGATGACTGATGGTATTGGCAGTAATGGAATTATAGCATCAGATATTCCTAAGGAACATTCCCCGTGAAAGAATCTATAGAAAAGTGGAAGGCCGTTGACTTCTCTACGGTGTTCTAATGGGGTCGAAGAGTTTGTGAGTGTGGCATCACCCACCAGGCGAATGGCTTTTCTCTGGATGGAATCTGAGAGCATCAGCGTATTTTTGGATGGTGAACCCCATACATGAGAACAGTATTCCAAAACTAGCCGGATCTGTGCTTTGTAGATCATGCATGAAACTGGTTGTGGTGTAAATAAGAAATAGAGTTTTTGTGAAGCAGCTTTTTCGATGGATCGAACATGATTTTTCCATGAGGAAATTTTGCTGATGGTAACATAACCAGAGATAAGTTACCTGGTAACTTATCTCTGACATAACATCAAACTTATTCTCCCGGTGTGAAGATAGAACCCTAAACTCAGCGGCCAAAATCACGAAAATACCCGATTGACCATGGGCGATTGACCTAACCTTGAACCTGAAGTGAGTGTGGAAGTGGAGTTCGTACCCAGGATGATCTAAGAGGACACCTAACATAAACAGTTCTGTTGCCCAGGGCATCAAAGTGGTGGATGAATTAACCTGTGTCACAGTCAAGATGGCTACAAGGACTACAGTATTGATGTCACGTCAGGGCTAATATATCTCTTATTTCGTTATGTCCCGTCGTCACTATGACACTGCCTGTATCGGCGAATCCGTCGTACCACTCGTACCTATCACATCAATCGACCAACAAACGCCATGAATTTCATTTTGGTATCAGGACTATCAGGAGAGCAGAAACATAGAACGGTATGCATCAGTTCAGAGATTATAATGGAAATGGTGATTTTCTGATATATGATGACGATCCCCACTGTATAAACCTAACCCACCATGCGTCTACCTCTTTTGCAGAGGGTTTATAAACGCCCTCCTGAGGGTACCTGTCGTGTTTCCATAGAGAGATAAAGGTGAATATCTGTCTATCTGTTTGCTTGAGAATCTGGAAAGGAATTCAATATATCGCCTTCCGTACGAAAATAAGGATCTGAATTCTGAAAAGTATACTCTGGTCAGTTCTCTTTGCGGATTTTCTGTTCGGTCCGTCTTGACTGGATGGTTATCTCCAATTTATTGACAAGTATCAAACAGTTTGCTTTTCGTAACTGCAACTAAACATCACATATCAGAAAGTACAAGAGAATTAAAACTGATGTTGAATCTGAAACATACCTGAATAATATTCTCTTCAACCGTAACTGGATTGCTGCATATTCGCTCTCCTTCCGAATAGTGGTTTTCCCAGTAGACATCTTCTACATTTTATATTTCGTGGGTTATAATAATAGGGACCATAAATGCCAAACAGTGTGCTGCTCGGATCTAAAACTAAGCATCAATTTGAAATCTACGAAGTCTGAATATTGTTTTCAACATTCGTAACTAAAACGCGATATATTTTTATGATAAATCATCAATTCATCAACTCTCTCAATGCAGACGAGGTAGGCAGATAAACAACGATTTTCTCTGCAATGAAAAACACTGTATATACCTAACCCACCATGCGCCGACCTCCTTTGCAGAGAGGGTTTATAAACGCCGAGTTGATACTCTCCCCTCGTAAGGGTACCTGTCGTGTTTCCATAGAGACATAAAGGTGAATATCTGTCTATCTGTTTGCTTGAGAATCTGGAAAGGAATTCAATATATCGCCTTCCGTACGAATATAAGGATCTGAATTCTGAAAAGTATACTCTGGTCAGTTCTCTTTGCGGATTTTCTGTTCGGTCCGTCTATGGTTATCTCCAATTTATTGACAATTATCAAACACTTTGCTTTTCGGATCTGCAACTAAACATCACATATTAGAAAGTCCATGAGAATTAAAATTGATGTTGAATCTGAAACATACCTGAATAATATTCCCTTCAACCGTAACTGGATTGCTACATATTCGCTATCCTCCTTCCGAATAGTGGTTTTCCCAGTAGACATCTGCTACATTTTATATTTCGTGAGTTATTATAATGGGGACCATAAATGCCAAACAGTGTGCTGCTCGGATCTAAAACTAAGCATCAATTTGAAATCTACGAAGTCTGAATATTGTTTTCAACATTCGTAACTAAAACGCGATATATTTTTATGATAATTGATCAATTCATCAACTCTCTCAATGCAGACGAGGTAGGCAGATAAACA